CATAGGGAAATTCAAAGAAAACTGTAGCCAAAAAGGGTAAGCAAGTTAAGTCTCAGGGTAAGGGTAAGGGTAAAGGACAGGTTGACAGAAAGACAAAATAAAAAAGAGTGACTGATCTAGGTGTTGATGGGGAAGATTGGAGTGGGGAGGTTGAGCGGTCTGATGAATCTGAGTGGTCAGCTTTAGATGAAGACTTTGCTGTTGAAGGTGAAGACATCTTAGAAGAGGAAGAATTCAATGGAGGTGATGCTGTGGAGGTGGAATATGACTCAGAAGAGCTAAGGTCTCTACAAGGCTCAGATGATGAGGTAGATCCTAATCCCACTTTTAATCCTGAGGTTGATTTCAAGAGAAAGATTTGTTTTGTTAAAGGGTTAGTTAAAGTTCCCTACTGTTGAAGTTGTTAGAAAAGCAATTAGGAGTCATAACATTGAAAACAATTATGATTATTATTTTTTGCATAATGGGAAGAGTAAGGTGAGTGTTTACTGTAAAAACAAATGTGAGTGCCCATGGGACAAGAAGCATGGGAAGATAGTTTGTTCATGTAACTCTGAGAACAAGTGTAACTTCAAGATTCCGTGGAGGCAGCCAAGAATGGAGCATACTCTCCAAATCAGAAATTTGAATTTGAACCATACTTGTGGATTTCATCATGAGAGTTCAAAAGTTACATCAGAGTATCTAGCAGATAGATACTTAGATGAATGGAGATTTGACCCTACTTGGAAGTTGAAAGTGTTCATAGACGGGATTTAAGGGTTCGTATTGGATACTATAAGGTCTGGTTTGCTAGGGCAAGGGAAAAGTTGATTTTGTATGGTGATTCTGCCGAGGAGTATGCAAGGGTGTGTGATTATGGGATGACTATGCTTAAATACAACCCTGGTTCTTCAGCCATTGTGGTGTTAGAAGGGATTGAAAACCCTCCCCCCATTTTTTAGAAGATGTATGTGTGCTTTGAAGCATGCAAAGTTGGGTTCAAGAGGGGCTGTAGGCCTGTGATTGGAATAGAAGGGTGTCATTTGAAGGGTGCTTTCCTTGGTATGATACTAGTTACTGTCAGTAAGGATGGTAATAATAATATCTACCCAGTGGCTTAGGTAGTGGTTGAAGTGGAAAACAAGGATACATGGATATGGTTCTTGGAGCTCCTAATCAAGGACATTGAGAAACCAAGGGGGAAGGGCCTTACTTTGAAGTCAGATAGGAAAAAGGTACTTAGCTTTTCTGTAATTGCCTTATTTTTTTTAACATGTTGCCAATATTTGTGTAATGAATTGCCTAAGTTATGCCTTTTTACAGGGACTATTGGAAGCTTTTGCTGTTGTGGTTCCTGATGCTGAAATCAGGTTTTGTGTAAGGCACATTTGGACCAATTTTAAGCTCAAGTTTGGTGGTGAAGCCTTTAAAGAATTTTTCTGGAAGTCAGCAAGGTCAACAACAAGGGTAATGATTTTTAACTTTGGTCACTGTTTGTTATTACTTTGAGCAATGTTTGCATATTGATAAAAAAAACACATCATTTTAATCATTTTTAGGCTGATTTTGAATTGAACATGCTAAAGATCAAAGAGTTGTCTGAAGATGCATTCCACTATTTAGTTGCAATTCCTCCTAGGCATTGGGTTAAGTATGCATTTTCCACTCATAGCAAATTTGATATGTTGTTAAACAACATATGTGAAAGTTTCAATGTTGTTTTGAAAGAAGCCAGAGACAAACCTATAATCACTTGTCTAGAATGGATTAGGAGGTATGTCATGAAGAGGAACACTCTGAAATGGGAAGGTGGTCAAAGTCATGAAGGCAGATTTATGCCTTATGTGTCCTAAGTGTTCCAATTTGTGTCAACTTTGGCTGCAAACTGTGATGTAATCCCTTCTAGGATGGACACATGGGAAGTGGATTACTACAGTGATAGGTTTGTGGTGAATCTGGTTGAGAAAACTTGTACATGTTATAGATGGGAGCTCACTGGGATCCCTTGTGCACATGCTTGGGCTGTGATAATAAATTGTGGATGACTTCTACAGCATGGACAGATACCTGGAGGCATATACTCTAAGTATCAAACCAATGCCTGGTATGAAACAATAGGAAAAGAGGACTGATTTGATGCAACCTACACCACATGTCATGAGAAAAATGCCAGGAATACCTTCCCTTAAGAAAAGGAAACAAGAACAGGGTGAAAGGGAAGGAGTTGAGTCATCCCAAAAGCCTAAGAAAGCACCAAAGTGCTCTAACTAACTGTGGAGTCCCAGGCCATTACAAGAACAAGTGCAAGAACCCAGCACCACCCAAAGAGGTTGATAAAGGTGGCAGACCTCCATCAATGAAGCCTTGAAATGTACTTTAAAGAAAGAAAATTTGGGACAGAGCTGTGAAAAAGGTATGTGAAGATTAAAGTTGGCTTGTACATTGTTTAGTTACTTATTATGACATGTTCTAATAAGGTTTGTGTTGTTGCTTTGTGTGTTAGGGAAAGAATAACCCTGAAACTGAGGCATCCACATCCAAGCTGCTCCTAGTCAGGCAAGCTCACAAGGTGTAGCTCCACCACAATCAAGTCAAGCAACCCAGCCCACCCAATCTCAGCCTCAAAGAAGTGCCACAATGAAGTCCAAGGCATCACCTTCAACAGCCAAGCTACCAATTAAGTCAAAATTGGGATGCCCTAGATTAGATTTATGTGCTTTGGTTATGTTCTTGATTTTGTGTTAGTTATTTTCTGTTTTTGTGAACAATCTTTCTATTTTTAGTGAGGCTACATGTACTTCAACCTTGAATTAGATTGATGTAGCCTATTTTTTATTAAGTGATGATGAACAAATCCACTTAGCCTTTGTAATTATTTTAGAACTTGAAATGCAAGGCTTTTTTTTATTATAATTGTGCACAAATTATGCCAAATTTTGGCATTGCAAAAGGAAATGTTCAAAGCATAATTTCATTTCATGTTAATGGCAATAATACAACCTACATAGATAAAGGTTAGCATTTGCACTTTGCTTACATTCCAAAATCTGTGACACATGCTACTCATACAGTGCAAATGTAATACCAATCATTACTAAATTGCCTACTACATCATTGTCTTCCTTAAATAACCTAACATCATTCCAATTACAACAACTACCACCAACTGCATTAGTCCTGAAATGCCACCATAGTCACCTGCCTTTGCTTTCTTCATAGCAGCAGAGAGTGTCTTGCATTTCTTGGTTAGTCTCTCTTTTTTCACTCTCCACCCTTGCCTTTTGATCTTGAAGCATGAAAACTTGTTGTTTCAGTAAACCAATCTCATTTTGCATCAACTTTTTGTCCAACACTAGTTGATTTGTAACAACCCTCTGCCACTCAAGTATTTCTTCATCAATCCATTTGAAGAATTTGCATCCTCTTCTACCAGATGCATCATTATAGAATTTACAGGCCAAAAATCTTCTACCAGGGTTTTTAGTAGTCCACGATGTCTCCAATTTTGGTGGAATTCCACAACTGCACTTGTTGGGATGATATTACATACAGGAGTGGTATGTTGAACTCGACATCCTACCATTAACAATGTCAATTAGTTATAAAAAGTACTCAAAAATGCTTCACAATTCAATCTTTAATCCTAAGGGACCTAAACCATGGACTCAATTGAATCGCTAAACCCTAGAAATCGAAACCCCCAAATTCGATTGAACCCATAAACCTTAATTACAATCAGAAATTGAAACCCTTATTCTTTAAATTGCATTCAAGTAAAACTTGTAGACAAATGCGAAAAACAATAATATAGAAAATAAGTGTGAAAGATTACCTGATTTTTTGTTCAATTGCTTGAATTATTGAATCTAATTTTTTTAATTGAGAAGGAGGGAAAATTAAGAAGCAATTGAAGAGGAGAGAGAAAAGGTAGTTAGGGGGAAGTAATTTAGGTGGGAAAAGTGAACTAGTGGGCCCAGTTAACGTGTAAAATGGACGGAAAACGTTATTGGGTAGTGCAACCCAAACGTTTTCCATCTTCCGGGTAGTTGTAAACAAATAAAAAAAATGGGTAGTTGTTAACAAAACACCCTATCTTCCGGGTAATTCTAGACAAAATTTCCTAAATTTGATGCTTATATGTAGCCCTTAGGGCTATATATAGCATTTTTCTTAAAAAAAAACTGTAACTAAATTAATGTGAGGATTCACATAAAGGATAGAGTATAATCAATCAGCCATCTTGTGTGTAGCTGCCTAGCTGGCCACACCATGTAGATTAGTAGTAACCCATAATACTAATCGAGTAACCATATAATCACAAATGGTTTAGGTAATACTTTCTCCGTTCTATTAATATTGCAACAATGGACTTTTTGCACTGTTCATCACTCTTGTTTGACCTTATAATATAGATTTATACGTTAAGTAAATTAGAAGTAATGTGCTTTAAAATGCATAATTTCCTCCTTGTTGCTAAGGGTGTTCAAAAATATCCGGTCCGAAATATCCGATCCGAAAATCCGATCCGAAATTTCGGATATCCGATCCGATTTTTGAGGTTTCGGATATTTCGGATCGGATATCCGAAAAAATTTCGGAATTTCGGATCAGATACGGATCGGATTTTGTCCGAAAATTTTAACTACCCGATCCGAAAACCCGACTATCCGATCCGAAAATTTCGGATCGGATTCGGATTGCAGTTTCTCGATCCGAAAAGTTCGGATATTCGAATTTTCGGATCGGATATCCGAAATTGAACAGCCTTGTTGTTGCAATATTAATTGAACGGAGGAAGTAAGTAATTACGGGTTCGTTTGGCATCGCTGTGGTTTTCTATTTTTTGGTTTTTTGTTTTTAAAAAGTATATTATATATGTCACATAATAAATCAAAAATTATTTAGACTTATTAAAATCATGATAATTTTGAAAACTGACAACAGAATAGTGGAAATACCTTTTTCTTGTTTCCTGTTTTTGGTTTTTAGTTTAAAAAAAAAAAAAAAAAACTGAAAAAAAAAATGATGCCAAACAAGCCCTACATTACCTAAACCGTTTGTGGCAATTGACATCACAAACTTGCAAAGCGTCAAAGAGCAGTGAAGTTGAACCCAGTAGAGGAAGAACAATGGCGGCATCATCTCCTAATCTCCCTCCAATTCTCTCTCCTCTTCAACTCAAAACCCCTCTCAACCCTAATTCTTGTTCAATTCTATCTCCATTCTTCAAAATCACCCCCAAATTTACGCCCACGAATTGCCGTCGCTCTTCTGTAATCGTCTCTTCTTCCGGTACAATTTTCACCCCTAAATTTCTTAATTTGCTTACTTTTTTCTTGAATTTGACAATTAATTTTCCAATTCTAGCATTTGAATTTGTTATATATACTTGCAATTGATTGTTTAAGGTTCAAAGGATGCGATATCGAGTCAGGAGAAGCAAGAGCTCTTCGACCGCTACGGCCTTGACCCTAATGACTTCATTTCTGAGCCCGTTAAGGTATCATAAGTTTGTATTTCTTTTATCATAAGAAACATCACTGAATTGTAACTACTTTTAATTATGAATTTGTGCTGATTTTTATTGGGTGGGTGTTACAGAGAAGTAGGAGAAAGGAGCGTGAGCAGGGCGTGGGAAAAGGTAAAGGAAAACAGCTAGTGGTCAAGGAAGACCGAAAGCCGCCTCGTACCACTCATAAATTGCTGCAGGTGTGTACGTTTGCTTCATTTTGTTCTAAGAGGAATTGTATGATTGTGGTGTGATGCAAATATGCAATTTGTTTTGCGGTACGTGTCTCTTCAAATTAGTTTAATTTGGTTCTTAGAGAACAATTTAAGCCAGAGATTTTTTTCTTGTAAAACATGATTGTCCATTTATTTGGCTGATCAAGAACCAGCAAATTTGTCATTTTTTTTCCATTAATTTTATGCAATATATGCTAATTGGTACTCCCTTTGTTGCCTATAGAGCTGAGTTACAATTTAGTTTTTGGTTGGATGGAGTTGATAAGAAACAAATTCGGTGGGACCAATTATAGTGAATATTCGGGTGGTGATCCTTCATGGCCATTTATAGTATAGAATAATCTTTAAAAAAAGGAAACAAAAGGGGACGGAGGGAGTATAATATAAGGTGGTTGGTTTTCTCCTTTTGCATCTTTTATAATCACTTCTTTTCTGTAAACTGCACGCCAGCTGCTGAATTCACTGAATTTGTAAACCAACTTTGTGAAATCAATTAGCATTTTTAGGTTAATGAATGTTCTTTCTATACCTTGGATTGCTTGAGATTTATTTTGTTTTCCACTGAAGGCTCCATGAATAAGTGCATTGTCTAATTAGGTGCTGGCTGGGAAGGCTAAAAGGAAGAAACTCTTATCGCCTGTAGGCATGGATGTTCGTCCCATGATGGAGGTAGTTAAAGGTGCTGCATTTGATATATTGCAGGTATTGTTTTCCGGAATTTGTTTTGTTGTGTGTGCATTAAGGTTTGAGGAGGTTTTGGTGCATAAACCTATACCCAAGGGCTATGAGAAAAGAAACCAAATAATGTTATTTCTATTTTTTTCTTAATATGTTGTTATATGCGAAATATGGGTGAGCTTAGATGATGAAGGCATTGTGTTCCATTGATTTTGGTTTCCTTAGGTGTCTCGGATGGAAAGGAATGAAATTTTTATAGTTGACCAAATAGGGTGTTGTTTTAAAGTTTTAAACAGGATTAATGCCTTGTCTGGGCTTAAGTGAAGTTTAGCCTGATTGACTTTTGTTCATTTTGCGTTAATTATTCTTTAGTTAACCCTTTGTCCTTAATGTTGTACTTTCCTTGTTTTTTTATGGACATTATTTGCACTAAAACATTAAGACCTCGCATTATTGTGTTGCTATCAGATATATGTTAATTGTTTATTTTTTTTTTCAATTATTTAATAAAATTTAAATTCAAATGTGTAAGAGCGGAACAAAGTTTAGCACACACTGTTTTTCTCTATTAAATTAAACGTGTTATCACAAACCACAAAAAGTCAAAAAGATTAGTAGGTATTTAACATAAAAATGAAGACCTATTTTTATTTAAAGTCACTAATTCTTACTTCCCTCTTTCTCTATTGCTCTCTTTTATGGTTAATCATTGTTAGTGATCTTATACCAATATAGAAAATTGGTTTTCTAAAAAAAACATTTTAAGGTATATACTGGTTGAATTTTTCATTGAAAATTTTCACAAATGTTCCTTTTTATAATTTGTGCTTTAAATTATCTTACAAGTGAAAAATAAATTCTGGTTATCTTCTTCTTGTTCACTTTCCATATGTTGAAAACTACTCGTCAATTTTCTTATCAGGTGGCTGGTGGCTGCCCTGCATCTTTAAGACCCGGTCGCTGGTTGGACCTGTATAGTGGCACTGGTTCAGTTGGCATTGAAGCTTTGAGTCGAGGTTGTTCTGAGGTGAGTACCACTAAAGGGCGTATTTGGCGCTAGTGTTTGAGTAGCTTTAAGTCAAACCACTACTTCATAAAAAATGTGAGTGTTTGGCAAAGTAGTGGTTAGGGTAGCTTTTAGTGGTGGAGGTTGTTTTTATGAAAAGTTAGAAATATTAGCGTTTGAAATTAGAGATAGCTTTTGAGGTAGCTTTTGAAAATTTAATCTATAGTTTTAAAAATTAAATATTTATTTTTATATGTAACAACTAGTCAACCGCTACTTTACCGAACACTCATACCTAAATTATCTATACTCACAGCTAACAGTTTTTTGACAGCTAAAAGCTACCTATACAGTTAAAAGCTACCTACACAGATAACAACTATCTTCATAGCTAACATCACCCTTCACAACTATATTTTGCCGAACACGCCCTAAATAGTTGACAAATTACTCCTTCTGGTCCATAATATATAGTAGGATACTAGGATATCTTAGCTATGTGCGTAAATGGAACATCAAAATCTGCCTCTTGTAATCTTATTTTATATGCTCACCCACCGTTATCACTCGTTTCATGGGTATCATTAATCTTGTTTTGCTGTAATGAGTTAATTATCTACTTTATCATTTACAGTAGCTGTAATGTGCTCTTACTCTTACTCTCTTAGTATTAGCTGGCTTTACATTTGCCCACCACTCCCTCCGTTTAATACTTGCTCCACTTTCCTTTTTCGGCCGTTTTTAAATACTTGCTCCATTTGTTTATTTGGAAAGCTTTTACAATATTTAATTCATTTCTCTCACCTAGTGGACCCAACATAAATCAAATTTTATTAATTTTGTAATCTATCTCTTCTAATTCTCTCCACTACTTTTGCTTTTAACAATATTTTATTTTTCCACATACCCCACTACCTCCATATTTTATTACTTTCTCCAATTTCTCCTAAAACTCCACACATGGAGAAATGGAGCAAGTATTTAAAAATGGAGGGAGTATTTGCTATTGGAAGAAGACAACTACTCTTAGTTTCTTAGTGTTGAATGAGATGATGTACAGATATGTAAAAATTCAATAATGTGGATCAAATTAAATAAGTTAGTTTGACCTATATATTTTATTTGGCTTAGGAATATTCTACTCATTGTGTATTTTGTAAAAATGACTTATAAAAATAACTTCGTAATTTTAAACACAAAATTCTGCTGTTTGCTAATTCTGTGGAGTTCTATGTGTATTATCCTGAAACATCTAGAATTGGTGTTGCCAATGCTCAGGTGCATTTTATTGAGATGGATCCATGGGTGGTTTCAAATGTTCTGCAGCCAAATCTACAATGGACAGGGTTTCTTGATTCATCAGTTATACATACTGTCACTGTTGAAAATTTCTTGGAACGAGCTCAGCAGTTTGTAGGTGTGTACTGTTATGACCATTTTTTTTTTTCGCTTTCAGTTTAATAGGTGCATGAGTCCGTTATTACTGATGTTTTACACCTGAATTTCCTTCTGCTGCTTGTGTCATGAGATGGTCCATTTGAATTTTGTCTCAATTTTTACCATTCAGTATTTATTAGATTTAGCTTTTGGACTGTTTGTTGCCCCTTCATTATATGCTATTTTTTGGTGGGTAATATATTTATTAGAGTTAGCATATTGGTGGTTTGACAAGTCAATGTCCTGGAATTGAGTGTCTTGAAAGAATGTATCAAAACTGATAACTTCCAAAATGTTGTATTAATCAGCTTTCATATTACACGATTGATTCTGAGTGATGTTGACCACCCAGCTCATTAGTGCATCATTTATCATACTCTGTAACATGAATTTTTAGGGTAAGACAGTCAAATTCAGCCCTTTTTTTTTATTTTTTTTTATTTTTAATCCCTTTAAAAGACTATGAAGAACTCTCATAAACATTATCACAATACTTACACGTCCATCTTAACCTAGAATGTTCCGGTTACAGGTCGGTGAGTTATGTTAACTGTTAAGGTTACTTTTATCTTTAGTGTTGTAAATTTAAAAAAGGAAAAGGGAAAAAAAACACTAATAATCTGCCTATTATGGTATTAAAAATTAGTTAAGTTTCTTTGAACGAGTTTGTAATTATCAGACTACAAATATTGAAATGCAAATTATTGATATTAATTGACCATTGACGCCGATTCAAGGATATCTCATCCTAATTAAATATTAAGGCACAAAAGTACAACACAACTTTTTTTTTTGGTTGTTGCCTCTTAAAGGGTATTTTTGTGAGTTTATTATTATTTTTTTAATTTTTAATTTTGTTTTTTTTTATAATACTATGTTGTCAGGGTTGGTTTGTGTCTGGTTGGGTTTGATTCTTTTATTTATGGTTTTTCTAGGTTTGGTCAATTACAGGTTACAGGTCAGATTTTGTGTTAACACCCCTTATTTTCAGGCCGAATTATGGGTTGGGTCAAATTTTGCTCGGTCTAATTATAAATGATAAGGTGTTATGAATCTTTCACTTTTAAATTGTCTCAATTCTTAATTTTATTGCTTTCTTGCAGGCGGTGATACAACTTTTGACTACATTAGTGTAACACCTCCATACATGAAAGTGGATTATGGAATACTTATGAACCAATTATCAGATTCCCCCTTGGTTGGAGAAGATGCGTTTATTGTAAGCTTTATTTTTTTGCTTTTACTATTCCCTCCATTTCTTTAGTCTTGTTTGAATTCTTTATAGATTTCAATGCAGATAACATATAATACTTTTTTAAACGTGCACACACACATGCGCGCGCGCACACACGCACACACACGGTATCTTGATTTGTCTTAGTACGTAGCTTCACAGCATCAATTTATTTTATTTAATTTTGTTTCATAATGTGTATTGAATATCTTTATTCTTAAAAATGTACATAGAATATGTGCAAAAAGTAAAATAGGAGTTACAGAAAGAAAAAGGAGTATTGTTCACTTTCTATCTTGATATTGGTGGTTCTTTGCTGCTTGTTCTTGTTTGAAAATCTCTTGCCTCAGGTGGTCGAATATCCTTTGGGAACAGACATGCTGGATTCTTGTGGATGCCTTATGAAGGTTTGTTTCTTTATGTCTCTAGATGAACTCTTTCGGGTTGGGATATTATTTGTAAAATATAGATAGATACTTTTTTGGCATCAAGGATTTTAATTACAAATTACTGATGTGAAGACTCTTGGACATTATTATGCATCCAAATAGCTTTAAGATAGTTTCTGTTCACTATCTTATTGTGCTAAATTCTTTAAAACAGAAGAATACCAGTACTATGTCATGCAGATTTCAGTGAATGGTCAGAAATCTTACCTTGGTTGTATATATACTGCAGATAGCTGATCGTCGCTTTGGTAGAACACATTTGGCAATTTATGGGCCAAAGTGGGCAATGAAGAAGAAGAAGGGCTAATCACCTATCTGGGCATTGTAAAGGAATGAATTCAATTGAAAAATGGGAGTGCCTGCAGGACCGTGCCGACCAAATGTGTTTTGTGAAATGTGCATCGACTGATTTCGTATACGACAGGCTAAAATGTACTGCTGAAGTTGAAGGCTGACATATCAAAACCATTGTCACGGTGTGTTATATACACAAGTCTATGTTTTGTCATTTTTACCATTGATAATAGAAATACTTTGACATAGGCTAAGCATCTATTGCAGGTCCAATAAAACTTGAGTGGAGCTTTCCAATTACTGTTCACTTTGTAGTTAAGGCAGCAGTTATCTTGAAATGGAAAATTTACTTAAGTGTAAGGGTTTAAACCTTCTTACTACTTTATTATCTTTGTTGTTTCCTTCTTTACTTTCTATTTATTTTACTTTTTTTCAAGGGAGGAAAGAGGAGAGAGAGAGAGAGGGGGGGGGGGGGGGTTGTTGCTGTAAAAAAATCTGTAGACGAGTTGGATGTTATTGTACTTTTTCTTATGAAATGAATCATCATTGGATCCAATTTCCTTAACCATCTTTCTCAAATTTATGGAACGAGAACAAGTACACTTATAATTTTCTGTCACTGGGGGAGCCTTGAGCAGGCTGTGTAGGACCTAAACCAGATTTAACTTTTACAAGACTTAACATGTGCTAAAATAGAATGATTGACTTTATTCAAGAAGCTATGACTTGTTTCTTGTAATTGCTGCCATTAAAGTTTTCTATTTTTAGTTATCCACAAAGCTGGATTGTGCTAATACATGTTTTTGCTTCCAATTCTACTGATATGGAATAATTAAGGCTCAAACATCAGGAGAAACAACTTAGGTTTTTGGGAATTAATGTATATAGTAACCCGTTAGCCCTTTTTGAAAGAGTTTTTGAAAGACTATTTCAAAAATAAAAAATTATAATAAAAAAAAAAGCTGAATTATTGGCATCTAGTTGATTAATTGTTCTTGAATGATGGGTTTCTGTAGATACTCAGTGATCTGAGCTATAAGGCAGAGCATTCAATTTGCTCAAGATTTGAATTTATTACAACCTGTCTTCCTCTTTCTCCCAAACTCTCTTTCCTCTCTCTCTTGTTCCATGCCCTTGCTTTGGTGCGGATGAAAAATTGAACTTTGCCTGTTCTTTGAGATGTCTATAAGTGAGGATTATGTTAGTGTTTTGGAGAAGAGGCGGGAAAAGTTTTGTAGATGCCTTTTTGGATGGTATGCCTTGTTGAGTGTTTAAAACCTTTTTGTCTCCTTTGAGCGTGGGATGGATATGGAGGTCTTGTTTTGATGTGGATAGAAGACGAAATCTTCTTTCTGACCTTTGAGATGAAATGAGGAATTTATTAGAGATCAGGAAAAGGGTTGCTGAAAATTCCCGTGGATGCTTATGTTGGAGTGTGTGTATATCTTGTTGGGTGCTTGAAACTTTTGTCTCCTTCGGGGCTGAATCCATCTGTTGAGAGGAAGAGGCGTGGGGGAATTTGGGTTGGATCAAGACTTGGGAGGTTGTTCTAGATTGGGAATTGAAGAAAGGGTAAAAAGAGCCATTTTTTTTCCCCAGGGAGATGGACTTGGAGTCTTGGACCTTGGGTGGATTTATGGGTAGTGCTTTCGTTAGGAGGTTGATGAGGTGGCAACATACAGCGGTGAGGATTTTTACAATGGATCTTACCGTGGGGGGAGAGGTGGGGGGGGTTTGAATGTTACTGTGTTGGGTCATCAGATCATTGAGGTGAGCATAGCCAACTGGCTAGATCATTAAAAACATAGGGTTTCTGTAATGGATCCGGCATACCTAGCCCAGCCACCTATCCAAGTCTACACCCAAGGCACAAGCAAGGAAAGCGAGAGGGGGACAAGCAACATCATCAGCAGCAGGGAGCAAGGGAGTAAGTAGACAAAAGGAATTAATGAAGCACTAAGGAATGTGGCAAACCAAAAGAGCCTGACGGCCCTACTGATACTATGAAGTGATAGAAGACAAATATCATTAATGTTAGATTTTTGCTTTATGTAATGAAGATAGAGCAAGTTGCACTCTTAAATTGTATATCTGATACTGTGAGTTAAGTTCTAGGAGATAAGTAACCTCTAGTTACTTACCGAGTAGTAGCCTAAAGCTACTCTTTTTGTATGAATTGGTTTCCACCATTGATCAAGAATCAAACTTTTGCCTCTAAAATAATCTATTGATTAATTTTGATTATAAATCAGTAGATTCTAGCTATTACTGTTTCAAAGGTAATGGAAAATTTTCTATGTAAGATGTGAGGGATCTAGCAGTTGTGGTAGCAAGGGTATATGCATATGTTTTATTGAGTCAAGTGGTGTGTGAGGAGATATGTTTGATGTTTGAGTTGGCTCATCTGGTAGTGCTAGTGTGCTACAGTATGTAGTAAGCATGTAAAGGCCACATTTTGAACATTTGGTCGTGTTACATGGTGCAAGACAGGGAGAGGTGGAAAATTTTGTTCTCAAAGCAGTGTAGAATATGATTTGAGGGCTATTATAAAGTTTGCCCATTTTCACTTTGTCTTGAGACTTTGAACTGTGCGCAAAACTCTGGGATTAGTCTTGAACAATATGTAAATTCTTAAAGAGGAGGGTGGAGTGTTAAACTAGGAATTAACGGTTGCAACTGTGCGTATCTAATAAGGATAATAAGGTAGTTGAGGCTGTAAGTCACAATGTTAATCCTCAAGTTCAGGAATCTCTTGTTGATGATCTCGATACCAAGGTTATAATTGGCGTATCTGGTGGAAAGATTAGGTAGCACAGATTGAATTCAACCAAGTGTTTTAAACTAATGATAAATTTTCAACATATTTAACTTCAAATATTTTAGATGTATGAAAGAATGGTGGCTGCTACAGGACAAATAAGACTATCTCATGTCTCTGTTGCACAATTGTGGATGATTGTTTGGGAATTCAATGGGGTTGAGGATACTCGTTGGATGCCAGCCATGAAGATTGCTCGGTAGGGTAAGTTGAACACTATAGCTCCTGAAGATTTTGTAGCTATCAAAGTTTTGCCATAGTTTCTACAGGGTATGTGTAGAACAGTGATAATCAGGTTAACTAGCTTGGCTGTTTAATATTTTATAACAAGATGTTAGATGGTTTGTAAAATTGAGGTCTTCTTAAGAAATTGGATTTGAATAGGGTAACCAACAGATGCTAATATAGGGATTAAAAATATTATGTATTGGGTATTAATCATGAGGTTGAGGTCTGAAGATAGACTTTTCTTAAATAGGCCATGACATTGTGATTCTTATTATCTAAGCTTTGAGAGCTACTTGCTCTTCACTTGTACTTCTTATTCACTTTTCTAATAAAAAAACTAATAATTTAAAATCTGAGAAAATTGTCCTGTTGTAAAAGTACTTGTAATGAAGGTTGTGAACTTGTGATCCCCTGTTCTTTGATGTTTAATAATGATTTGATGTATTTCAAGGCCCTTATGCAAGACTCTCTTATTAAATTTGAGCTTGTAGTTTTTGATATAATACATACATGACAGTTATGTATTAATAATAGTTGCTGTTATTACTTCTGCGTGTAGTTTAAATTAAGTTTAATTTTGAAGAATCTTTTTTTTTTTTTTTTTTTTTTTTTTTTGAGAAAAATGTCCTTTTACTGCAGACTGATTAAAGTTTTAAGATTATGCTTACCCAATTTTGTCCTGATTCAGCTGAAGAATAGTTTAGTGTGCCAAAAAAAAAAAAAAATTAAAGAGGTGTTTGTTATGCCTTGCTCATGTCATATTGACATATTGTTAGAGTATTTTAAAGTGAGATTTTTATAGAGCAAAGCGAGAAAATCTCTTAAAGCATATTGATTTAAGCAAACAGGGAAAGTTAATTCACTTTGGATTATTCTTTATGAATATTCCGAGGGGATGTGACTTCCTCTGGCTTTGCTTTGGAAAACAAGTTCTCCTGTTGAAGGATCCTTGTAACCAATCAATACGACTTTTTGTGCACAAATAATCACTGGTTAAACTAAAGTTTGATGTTGCCTTTTATTTTGATCTTTTACTGGTAACTTATGTTAGTATTCACTCTTCAATTCACTCTTTTTTTTTAAATTATTTTTTTTAGTAGATAGTTTACCAATGTATGAAAGGATTGAAATTATAACTGTAACTGGGAAGTGTAAAAAGTATGTATGTATGTATGTATCTTATTTGTTATGGGGGTTAAAATTGAGGTTACAAACTTACAACCGGGCTTAAAAAATTCTGAGAACCATAGCTTACTCAATCTAACCAAGTGTAGAATATTTGATACTGGAAGTGACCTGTTTCGTATATATTTTTACTGTGTAAAAGAAATTTTTTATCAGTCAGTCTTCTAATGAGAAGCTAAAACTCCCATTCTAGGCTCCCTTCTTTTCTTATGTACAGTAGACATTAGACAATACATTATTCTCTGGTTTCTTTAGTGATTGTTGTACTTTCCGTCATGTTAATAGTTTTATTTGCCCGCTTTGGAAATATTTAACTTTGTGGATGAAATATACTTCGTGTTTCTACTGTTTGGAGCACTAAAGTTATGTTTAATGGAGATTTCTTTAGGTGGTCTCCACTGATTGAAGGCTCCATCCTCTACATTCTGCTATGTACTGGTAAAGTAAAGAAACTTGTTAGTACTGAAGGTGGTAACTTTTGGTGGACCACCAACCACACATTGTGCACTTAATCAGAATTCTAGATTTCTATCATTAATTCATTATATTTATGCAGAGTCACCAATACTTTTGGTAAACATGTTGAGTAAACTAGCTGTTCATATACCTGTTTCTGGTCTGCAAACTTTGGTATCTGATGTTGAACCTTTCTGTGATTTTGGTATAGAGCACTGGGCATTTTCTAAATCCTTTCTAATTGAGGGTTTGAGGTTGCAGAGGGAAAGACCGCCTCCTTACTTTGATTTCCTTTTCATGTCTGGATTAGTATGCCATATATAAAATAATTTCATTAATTTTGGCTTCAGTGTGCTTTGAGTATCCCAGATATGCACGCTAAACTAATGTGGATCTATTGTGGATGGGTACTTTGGTTTGTTAGGAGGGTTATAAATCTCGGATGTGATTATTATAACAGTCGCGAAACAATTTTTTTGGGTGATATGGATGGTGTGTGACTGTCATTACCTAATGTAGTGGTCACAAATTCACAATGCAGTGATGCAGCCGAGAACAAATTCCCTGGTTGATACTTCCTGATAAACAGAGAGTTATCGATATGCAGCAACATTTCTTGCAAACATATACTCATTGTAGGTAATTCTTATTGAAATTATGCCTCTAGAAAATGGGCTGAACTGCTGACTGATGATGCTTCTCAATTCTCTATCCATTAAACATGTAGTAGTTTGTCTCAAGTACTTAAAGTAACTTGATGTTGATGTTAAACATGTGAAATTATTTATTTAATTTGATGCAAAAATTGTGAGATTAAAGTTTTATTTTTTCGAGGTGGGTCATATAATCCTGTGTTTGTAGAGCCCTAATGGATTCATTAAGCCATTAAGGAAGGATTATGGTCCCATTTTATTGGCTTCATGAAAATACGCACACCAAAACAGAGGAACTACACTGGCATGGGCCCATGCTATCTTTGAGATCACTAACTTTTCTCTTTTTGTCATGCTTCTCCCTCATTCTGTCCTGCCCCTGCTTTGACGTAGTTTTTGAATCAGTTGCCCTCTATTTAAAGCTTGCATATTACTTCTTATTCTTTCCAGTCTTGTTCCGCCTTCCTTCTTTGACGTAGGAAGTTCCAATCGGTGGCAATATCGCCTTCTTTAATGATATATTATATCAACAATTCTTTAGTATCATTTGTCTTCTTGATTCTGAAATGATCATTCTTCCCGTCTTCTTTTCCTGTTTTCGTAAGAGCAACTTATCCTTCCTAGGAAGGGAAATCTAGTTGGGTGAAGTGGTATGGCTGATTATGGTGATGGGGGAGGAGTTATGCGGGTTTTGAAGGCTATATGTGTAGCTTTTATGTTGGTTTTTTCTGTACGGTTCTTGTCCATGGGGATCCTAGCAAGTGCGGAGATTGAGGGGCATACAGCAGCGACGAGTACATCATCTGGTAATTACGCAGCAATGCATACATCATCTGGGAATCATGCAGCAACGAGTACATCATCTGGGAATAACAAGCATACGACGCTGCTGGGGAGGAAGAAACATTCTGTTCCTGTGAAGCTCAACCCGACTTATTCTAGTAAAAGAAGAGTCCCCAGTGGTCCTGATCCTATACACAACAGGTATTGCTTCCTTCTCTAACAAATATTGGGTGTTTTCGTTCATTTAACTACCATCTCCTCTGGCCTGCTGTTAGTTGAAAGAGATCATATGCTAGTTCTATATTGGTTACGCGGATGTACACAAAATATTACTAGCCTTCCTATTGTAGGCATGACTTGTTTAAAAAACCCATCTTATAGTTACATTTAGGCTTCTTTAAATTCCCTGTATGAGACCTCAAGAGAAAGAGGAAAGGAGAGGTGATAGGTAACTCTTATCTAAATCAACTGTTTTTAGTGTTTCTATAACAGAGGAATTATAGTTTGGTGATGTTTAGGGTTAGAACTTAGAAGGAATCAAATTCTGGTTGTTTTTTCGAAGCTTAAATGAAAATTAATTCAATTTCACCCTCGTCCTAGTTTGGATGTTTCTATGATAGTCTTTCTAAAAATGACTACCCCTATACTCAATTTTGATTGGCATTTAAAAAAATAAAATATAATTTATTGATCAAACTTCCTTAAAAATGAAAAGAAAAAAATGAATTATGTAAGAAGGAAAGTCATTCTATATAAGTTTAACCCACAAAAAATAAAAATTAAAAAATAAATAAAAAAAATTAGCCAATCAAAATTGAGTCTAGTGGTAATTATTTAAGGACGATTACTATAGAAATTTCACAATTATTTATTTTTTAAAAAACTTTTGTGGTTTGGGTTTGGAAACACGTTAGGTCACTAGGGATAGAGAAAAGTGTTATTAATGCATAATATTAGTAAAATTTTATGTCACTCCGTACTAAATTGCAATTTTATAGATCCATCTTTTTTAATTGCAACATTAGAATTTCAACACTTGTCAATATACATTGTATAGGACATTAATATACTTAATTACTCCGTAACTTTAATAATAATTATAAATAGTTATTTAAAGCATAAATCGAGATAAATCTAACTAGGAACAAGCTACCATTAAAACACTTTTCCGCTCGTTTTGGTGTTGAACTGTTGAAGTGTCTTAAATTCTCAATTTCTACGTTAGACGGCGAGACACAAAGGATAAAGTATACTCGTAAACGAATTCTATATTACTGTACAAAATGATTTTGCGCTCCTTGTTAGTGATGCTTCGAAAAATGTGCAATGCCACATCAATTTATATTGCGGGAAAATAACGTGGGCAATCTAACACTTTAAAACAGACCAATAACGAACTTTTAATTTTAATCTACTAGAAATATGGTTTTTTATTTTTATTTTAATTTTATTTCACAGCCCTAGTAAACATGCTCTTAACTTTTCTATAATTCTTTTTATCTCTTTTTGATTTAATTCTTTTTTTTTTTTTGAATATTATTATATAAGTAAATAAATCCAGAATAGTATTGTTGTTGTTGGCATGTAATAAAATATTGGGACAATTCTTGCAATTCGTGGAGGGTGATGGTAGTTTAGGCCTTTAACAAAAGCTTCTTTAAATATGAATCTTTCTCTTATTTTGATAATGAATAAATAAAGTCGTTGAACAACTTTGTTGGAGGGGCAGGAACAGAAGTTGCTCGCTCTTTTTCTTCCTTCTTTGTGTTCAGCTGTGGGGGTCCCCAACCTTCAAACACCGTTAAGGATAACTTAACGATACGTCTTGTCTTTTACAGTATTATAATACGCTAATAGCTATTGCATTGTTATTTAAAATCGTTAATCCCTCATCTCAAGTTATTTATTAATTCTTGAAAAGTTTTTTCGCTGGTTAAAAATTAGGTCTCACACTCATCAATCGCATTTAAACAAATTCTAATCTAGGTTGAACGTTTGCCCTCCTTCCAACAGGCACGTCGGAGAAACTAGAAGACCACCTGGCCGTACTTAGCACCGCCTCGGAATTGAACTGAGAGGGTGGTTTAGTCAGTACGTACGCTATGGGACAAGTTATTGGAAAATCTATCTATTATTGCAAAGGATTATATGATGGGTGGAATTTTCATTGTTTTGTTTCGTTATTATTTATAAATATATGTATAGGAAGTTTTCATTTTAAGTATGATTTATTTCCCATTTAGAGATTAAAATGTCATAAGAAGTGATTCCTTTGTTGTAAAGATTTGGTTTTTCTCAAGTTATGAGATTTTTACGTGTAAATTTAACTCAAGTTTTTTTATGGTGCGACGGATTTTGCATGTATCATATCGTTTATTTAATTATATTTTTATTTATTATAATTTGAGCCCTTTTTTTTTTTTTTTTTTTTTTTTTGGATTTATAAGCCTTTTTTGACGCTTTTGGTTGCATGAGTCGTCGGTGCTTTAGGGCAGCTCGTGCTCAACAGTCGTCAACAAAGGTGTGTTTCTCCCCATTAGTTAAAAGTCGTTTTTGTTGTAACAAAACTTTGTTAAATGGTAACATTTTCATTGAAATTCGTAATTGATGAGATTTGTTTTTTGCTAGTGAAAAAAATGGGCTGATTATGCATTTATACTCATGTAATTGGATGCTGTTCATTTCATGAAATAGTATTTTGATGTGAAACATTATGTTATGAAATTTATCCTAAATTAACGCAATGTAACACATTCAATAATCATTACATAAAAACAATTGGAATTTCATTATAGATTTTGGGATACCAAGTAATTAGCTAGACATTCACAACTTGACTAATTTACATTCTTGATTGACTATAAAAAGTAATATGAAATTATTTTAGTGTGCCAATTGAGAGTTAAGATAATAAAAGATGTTGAAACTGACTCAACACAGATAGATCTGACTTATCTCAATAGTTGCTCAGAATGAGATTCGATATGCATGGCTGCAATGCCTGTAATAATTTAGAGTACTTAAATATAATTTCGACTAGACTTGACTGGACTTGAACCTTGTACAATGACTCAAATTGACACCTGATATGAATGGGAGAAAACAAAAACAAATAAATTTACTCCCAATTATTGTTGAAGGCCCTCAATTCTATAATTAATCTTTTATTTGTTTATTTTAAAGGAGGGTGATTTGAGTCCACTTTTACTGAGCTTTCCTTTTTCTAGTCTAGTGATAAAAATTGGTTGTTCCAAGAAATGAAGATGAGAGGAGGAAGACTGGTCTAAAAAGCAAGATGAATGAGATTGATTATAAAGCCATTTTTGTTGCGAAAGGGAGACAATGCCTTAAACCCGTGCAGTTTTGATGATTGAACTATTAATTTGATTCGAGTGAATATTTGTAAATACTGTTTATCTGATTTGACGTTACTTCTTTCTTGAATTCTAGGGGATTTTGATTGTTTTTTCTACCAGATTTTTAGGGAAGAACTTGCAATCATTAGTTTTATGTTACGTAACTTGCGTTTAACAATAAGATGAATTTTGATTTTTGCTAACAATTATGTAAGATTTGTTTAACATTGAGAAGTACATAGTATTATACTCCCTTTGTCACTATTTTTTGGATGTTTCTACAGTGTCATTTTTCAAATGACACCATAACATGATGATGTGTTATGTTATGATAGATCCATTTTTGATTTATTTTTAAAAGCCTAGATTTATTATACATGTATGTATTATTGTAAATACATGTATTTTTTGTAAAGAATATGTAATTATAGCTTTTTAAAATCTATTTTTTTTCATCTTATTAAAATCATTTTCCAAAATTGAATTATAATTAAAATCTAGAAATTAAAAAATTCATCATTGTTTATCATCAATCTTCATTCATGATAGTAATTAACCACTCCCATAATCTTGTATAATCTATTCACAACGAAGATCAAAATTCTGAACAAAATTCCGTCCAAATTCGTTTACAAATTTTGTTTCAGGGTTCGATTGATAATTTTGATTAATGTAAAAATCACATTGTTTGATAGTTTTGAGGATGAAAAAAGCATTAGGAATGTCTATTATGATGATGATGTAAAATGCATATCTTTCATTTTTTTAAACAATGAATGGAAAACGAGGGTTTGCTCTTCGATTAGAGTTCGAGTTTTTTTTTTTCGCATTGTTTGATCTAGAATCTTGTTTTTCGATTTTTGTAATCTTTTTGTGGTTAGGTAATCACCTATATTTAGTTAGGTCATTACCTTAAAATTTTAGTTTTACTTTTGTAGTTGGAATCTACTTGTACGCTAATCGTATTACAAAAAAATAATTTATGGAGTTTTTATCATATAATTTTAGCAAAAAATGTTTTTGTGATCATAATCTTATTATATTTTGGAAAAAAAATATTTTTTTGAATCATTATCATATCATTTTAGCAAAATATACTTATGGGATAATTATCTTATTATATTTTGGAAAAAATATTTTTGAAATCTTGGGCATATAAATTAGTGGCTATAATATTGAGATATTCCTAATTAGCTTTCATTCACCTTTTTTTTTTTTTTATATGTTGTATGACCGTATATACATCTACATCCATAATTTTAGGACCCATCCTTTTTATCATTGTTAAGAAACACATTTTTTTTGCCATTTTTATATATATCATATATTTATATTTTGTTTACAAAGTTATACAAATATAGCTTTGTTATATGATTTGCCCATTTTTTAGCAATTTATAGAGAAATATTCTCTCTCAAATCGTTAATGACATTTAAGAGCATATTTTAAAAAAAAAAATCAAAAAACATCACATATAAGAGTTTACCAAAAAAATTTAAAAATTTAAAAATTAGTTTTTTTTTTTTTTTTTTTTTTTTTTTTTTTTTTTGTTATTAGCTTTTATGTAATGACCAAAGATAGTTTAAGTCATTACCTAACCCACAAACAAGTTCGAGAAAACTTAATTACATTTATAAGATCAAACAGGGGTTGCGGAAGGTAAAAAAATTCGACCCACTTCATCTTCTACAAACTTGATATTCCTTGTTCTTTGACAAAATTGCACAATTTGAGTCTACATAAAGCATATTTTTGAACCATTTAAACCGAAATTTGTCCTTTGCAAATACAACTAACGTTGAATTTGGGAGTAGGGGGCTAATGTATGACATAATTCATGAACAATTATGAACGATGACGATCGAGCAATGATGAACCATGATGATGAACGCAGACCAACAAAAATCGAACAATAATGATAGAACAATGATGATCGAACAATGATGATGATGATGAACAATTCTTATCACGATGAATTCTAATTATAATTATAAAATTGAAAATTAATTTATATTATAAAAATATATTTTCATTATTTATAATTATGTATTTTTTTTTTAAAAATGCATGTATTAAAAATAATACAAAAAAAAATACAATTTTAATACATTGTGGACATTAAAAATAATTCAAAATGAAAATAAATAATACAAAATATAGGCCAATTATATTTTTCCACATCATCAAATTGTGGTGTCATTTTTAAAGAATGACATTGTAGAATTTTTACTATTTTTTGCTTCAATGACTTTGCACCGTCTCCACGACACGTTTTGTAATGCAAATTGTTGAAAACGGTAATGCAATCAAATAATTACAAAGCCTAACGATCCTCACTCATGGGGGATTAAGGCTTGTTCACATTTACTGAACTTAACTGACTGAACTGACATGAATATTTTATGAGAGGGGAAAATTAGGAGCTGAACTAAAATGAAGTGAACTGAACCGATTGGAGCTGAACTAAACTGAAATTAAGTAAATGTGAACAAGTCCTTAACGTTCCAAGGAATACTCACGGTCAGGTGGGTCGTTGTCCAACCGGGCCTACTTAATCTGCTTGAGTGGGTTTGTTTATTTGTCTCTTATTCTTGGGATACATATAAATACGAGTATTGTCTTCTTCTTTTTGATATTTATAATACAATATTATTGAGCCTAAACACATAAACACAAGCCTACCTTTTTGAGACTTGAACAGTTCTTGAGCAATTCTAACATTTGATTCGGGTACAAGAATTGCAAAGGTCATTGTGTAAAACCTGGGGAGTGTGCGTCACCGGGAAACCTGTACCGGTGGTGGCGTATTTCGCTTCTAAGTCAGTGAATACTAAACTACGACACAACAGAAGAGGTCTTTGATTCGAGTATGGTGTTCGAATTTGTTCCAGGGAAGTTCTTAATTTGTCTATTATTATTCATGGAATCAACATGTATTTTTCCAACACAAATAACATTATTTCTATACGCGTAAAAATTATAAAAATTTGATATTAATAAAATATTCAATTAGACGAATCCAACAAAACCCCACATGACTATATTACTTCTTATTGATTAATGGGAATTTATAATCAAAGATTTTAAAGTTTGACCCCATTATTTAAGATGGGCCAAAAAAATAGGGACAGAGGAAGTAGTATATGGGACACAATGGAGATAGTTTTAATTATGTTTGAAACCTATCAAATGATAATCTAGTTTTATCTCAACGTATTGTTTGGTACTTTGGTTGCGCAAAAATAGAGAGAAAACTGAAAGTTTATACATGCATAATAGTATACAAAAATACATCAGTATAATATTAAGAGAGAGAATATATACCACTGAACCCTAGATTTCTCTTCTATGTGCATGCCAAATATATAGGCTCTATGCGCCTAAATGCACTCGAGTCTGTAGGATATTAGGTGTGTCTTAGCAATAAATTGTAGAGCAACTCGATAAGCTTGGAAGTAGGTTGTAGATTGCAAAATTCGGTCAACGCATATTCTTAGGTGCATAGTCATGCATATAGAAATAGGTGTAACAGTATAAAACGCATGAAATTCTTTTTGAAACACAGCCCACTCATATTTTCTTCTCTAACGTTTCTTTTCGCCTAAGTTTTTTGGTTTCCTTTTTTAATTTTTTGGTTTCCTTTTTCCCAATTCTCTCTCTTCTCCTATCTTTCCTAATTCTCATCGAAGTTTTCCATTAAAATTTTCATTACTATATTTTCTTTTACGTTGTTTTTGGACAAATTATACTCTGATTTTTCTCCTTCCTTCTTTAATTCCCTTTTCCTCTTTTTTTTTTCTATTTTTTTCTCGTCTTTTTCGATTTTACAATTGAATCTGTACCTTACAAAATGGAATTATTTGTTTATCTGATATTTTGAATTCATATGAATTGAATTTTTTTTAACTTCGATCAATTTCATTTGTGTGTGAATTTCATTTGATTTTCTGCATTTTTTTAATCATTGAACATAATCATGCAAAATGTGAACATATGCATAGGTTCCCTTAAATGTGAACATTACCTTTTAAGAAAGTGAACATAGGCATAAAAAAATGAACATTTGTATTTCAGAAAGTAAACATAACAATTCAAAGTATGAATGTAAGCATTGGTTTCCTTAAAGTGAATATAAGCATTTAAAAGGTAAAAATATGCGTAATTAATATGAACATATGCATTTAAGAAAGAGAACATATGCATAAACAGATTTAATGAGAATATTTCATGAACAACAAATATTTACTATGAATATTACATTATGAACATA